CCCAGCACCTAGTACTAGATCTGACCCTGGTCACACCTCAGTAAACATTTGTTGAAAGAAGGAAGGAAGGAAGAAGGGAGAGAAGAAGGGAGGGGGATAGCAGGTGAACATGCAGTTGCTACCCAATAACATCAGGAATCACTTCACTCCTGAATCCCCTGGAAGTGGTCCTGCAGATGATTCATAAATCTTACGCTCCAAATTACCACGTACGGCAAGTGCAAAAGATAGGTTCTGAGCAGAGCCTGACAGGAAAAGTTAGGTGGCAGGATGGTTCAGATGTCTCATGGGAGATGGTGACAGATTAATAGAAAGGATTTTCTCCCTGGGAGAGTGAGAAGCTGCCTGGGAGTCTTGAATGGGAGCTTACTAAATTCAGATTGCCCCAACCTGGTCACCTGAAACTCTAGTATGATAGATTAAGGATCCTTTTGTAAAATGCTTGGGCTCAGAACTATTTCAGATTTCTAAGTATTTCAGATTTAGGGATATTTGCATAGATTTTAGTCGTTGAGTTTGTTTAGTAGAAACAAACAAAAAACAAATTATAGATGCTCAACCCATATTACCTTTTATAGTTGCAGAGTCAGCTTTAGCCAATCACACCGCAGGGTCTAACACTCAGATTTCCAGAATGATGTGGCCAAGGGGAGTAAGAAATAGCGCTCTGCAAACTCCAGAAGATCTATGCTTCTCAGTGTGGATTGTCTGCATTTTCTAATTCACTTTTTATTTAAAGTGAGCCCAGTAGCTGGATACAAGGTCAACATTCAAAAAACAGTAGCCTTCTTGTACACAAATAACAGACTCACTGAGGGAGAAATTAGGGAAACAATCCCTTTCACAATAGCATCCAAAAAAATAAAATATCTAGGAATCAATCTAACAAAGGAAGCAAAAGACCTCTAGCCTGAAAACTGTAGCACTTAGAAAAAAGAGAGTGAAGAGGATATAAGAAAATGGAAAGACATCCCTGTTCCTGGGTAGGAAAAATCAATATAGTGAAAATGGCCATACTTCCAAAACTAATATATAGATTTACTGGAATGCCAATTGAAATGCCAACAATGTATTTCACCAAACTAGAGAAAACAATCCAAAAATTCATTTGGAACAAGAAGAGACCTAGAATAGCAAAAGCAAGCCTAGGCAACAGAGACATGACAGGGGGTATCACAATCCCCAACTTGAAACTCTACTACAAAGCTACTGTGATAAAAACAGCATGGTATTGGCAAAGAAACAGACCCAAGGATCAGTGGAATAGATTAGAAGATGCAGAAACAACTCCAGACA